ATCGGGTGTGATGGGAGTGTACTTGTGGGAGGCCAAAAACGCCCCAAACCACAAGTTTAGACATTTGGTTAAAAACTCCATCTGGACACCAATATGAGTGAGACCTCTACCTCTTGTGGGCTGTAAAAACTCACAGCTCCCACCACCCGATGTGCAAGCTTGGCTCTACCACAGGTCAAACTCAGAGCCCTCCTGGACTTCTACTCCACCAGACACGTGCTACCACTATAACCTGGCTTGAGACTCAGGCCCGCCTCGCCACTCGTGGATACTGCCAGTGACCAGATTTCACCCCAGATGCTCTCTCTGCTCCCTCCTGTCACATGAGCTTCCCCTCTCTGCGTGTAACCTGCCTGTGAGTTCATGGGCTTATTAAGGAGTCTCTCCTGATAAATTTGCATGGTGGAAAGACACAACGCATGTGAGCGACTCCTTTCAGGGTTGCTCCCTTGCTCACAACAATTTTTTTTTAGAACTTGTAGTAAGTAAAAGCATTTTGCCTTTGTCTTGCCAGTGTGCATGCTGGTCTTGAGAAGGCAGTCTCTCTTCAAAACGTTCTGTGCAGCACTCTGAATACAAGCAGTTACTGGAAGCGCTGGACCTACATTGATTTTGTGTAATACGGTGCTTGTAAGAAAGTCATGGTTTCTAGAACAAAGTAGTTCTATTCCATGAAAAATATTTCTTGAACTAGCTGGGTAGCTCAGTTGGTTAGAGCATCATCCTGATACACCAAGGTTGCCATTCTATCCCCAGTTAGGGCACATAGAAGAATCAACCAATGAATGCATAAATTAGTGGAAAAAATAATCGACTTTTTTCTCTCTTTATTCCACTTTCTCTAAAAATCAATAAATAAAAAACATTTTTAAAAACATACTAAACATTAAAAAAATACTTCTTGGGGCCAAAAAGTAGTATGCAGACATTTTCCCTCTTGTTTTGCAATAAAGTGCCCTCATAAATTATTCACATAGTAATGTTAACATAAGTATATTGTCTTATATATTTATGTTATTTATTATATTCATCTTTATTATTACATAATAGTAATATACTAACATATAACTAAGTGAACAAGAAGAAAGTTAGGTTCCCTCTCCCTTTTTTAAAAAATTTTATTTAGTTATTTTTCAAGTACAGTTTTTTTCCCTCTCCCTTGAAGATACCACCCAATATCCTAAGAGTGGCATACCAAGTTCTTTACAGCCTGTCTTCAAACTACTTTATCATCTCCCTATTCCCACATGCCAGACTCTCAGTCCACACTTCTTTTATGCTTCCAGGTCTGTTCCTTCTGCCTGGAATGCTGTTCCTCCACCCTCTTCACCGCACAAGCTCCTCCCAGTCTTTGGAACCCAGATCAAAAGGCATCTCCTATGTGGAGCTTTTTCAGTGGCATCTCTCTTCATTAATGAGTCTGTGTCCTTGAGGGAAGGAGCCATCTCCCATTTTTCCATTATTATCATTATTATTTAGATTTTATTTATTTATTTTTAGAGAGAGGGGAAGGGAGGCAGAAAGAGAGGGAGACAAACATTGATGTGTGGTTCCCTCTTGCACACCAGCCAGGGCTCCCTTATTTTTTTTTAAATGGAAGCTCAAGAATTGTTCAATAAGATAGAATGAAAAATGAAATAAGTATATGAATTTGGGGAAAGTCACCCTGATCTCCTTGTAGAATATTAATCAGGGAAACAGGCTTATCTTTCTAAACTTGGATCACAAGTGAGAGGTGGCAGGCTCACTCGGGTGAATGAGAAGCTAAAAGGAAGCTATAGTGAATCATATACCAGCTTGGAACCCTAGGCCAGGGCAGGAAGGGACATAGGTCACTTTTCTTGACTGTTGAAGCCAATAAGAATGATAAAACCATCTCCCAGCAATTCCATGCCTATTTTTCCTGCTCTTGGAAACTGGCCTACTTCCTCTACCCTCCTCTCTGTAGCAAGTGGTTTTTAGGTTTTTAAAGAAATCTAGTGCTGGCTGATGTTGCTCAGTGGGTTGAGTGCTGGCCTGCTAACCAAAGCTGTCACCGGTTTGGTTCCCAGTCAGGGAACATGCCTGGGTTGCAGGCCAGGTTCCCAGTAAGGGTGTGAGAGAGGCAACCGCACATTGATGTTTCTCTCTCTTCTTCTCCCTCCCTTCCTCTCTCTCTAAAAATAAAGAAATAAAAAAATATATATATAAAGAAATCTAGTACATAACACTAGATTGGAAATGAGGAAAATTGTGATATTCTTGAGTTGTGGCCATTTATCAGGGTCAGAGTATTGAGAAAATTGACCATTATTCACTCTTGACTATCTGATGAAAAATGAGGGAATGGTTTTCCTCAGAATACTTTTGACAAAGTGTTAACATTCAAATGATTATGAGTTGGCCATTAGAAAAACTTTTTAAAAAATATTTTATTTATTTATTTTTAAAGAGAAGGGAAGGGAGGGAGAGAGAGAAGGAGAGAAACGTCCATGTGCAGGTGCCTCTAACACAACCCTCACTGGGGACCCAGCCTGCAACCCAGGCACGTGCCCTGACTGGGAATGGAACTGGTGACCCTTTGGTTTGCAGGCCAGAGCTGAATCCACTGAGCCACACCAGCCAGGGCGGATAACTTTTATTTGGAAATAAATATAGGCTCACAGGAAGCTGCAAAAATTGTACAGGGATTTCCCATGTAGCCTTACAAAATTTCCCCTGATTTCAACATGTAGCTAGGATGCACTATTGAAACCAGAAATTGACTTTGGTACAATCCACATACCTTATTTAGATTTTACCAGTTTTACACACACTCATTTGTGTGTGTGTGTCTATGCGATCTTAATCATAGGTGTAGGTTCTCATAACCACCACCACAATTAAGCGATGGAATTACTCCACTTCAAAGACTCCTTGTACTACCTCTTCGTAACCACACCCATTTTCAGGTCTTCCCTTCCTCCTGCATCCTTTTAAAGGTTTTATTTATTTATTTTTTAATATATCATATTTTCCACTAACCCCCCAGAAAGGAGATGGGTTTTCCTATTGATTCTTGTGTTGTTTTAAATGCTGGCAATAGAAAGGAGCATGGGTCTAGGAAGTTAAGGGAAACTTCTATGTCCACCAGGGGGAAAGTCATCAATAGTAACCCAAAGATGTTAAAAGTGACACAAAGCCTACTCACGGAAATTATTTTTATTCCTGTAATTGGTTAGTTTCCAGGAAAATGTACATTAGTTCTGTGTAGATAAAACACATAGCATGGTTCTAAAACTGATCAGTGTTCAGAGAGTATTTATCGGGCAAGTGCACTGATCCAACAGGGAGCAGTGCATTCCACAGCCAGTTCCTAGGAGAACGTGAGGCAACTCTCCATTTGTTCCAGAGGACAGCTGTTTTCAAATTAGTAAAGCTTTTCTGCGACTGGAACAGTAAAAAAGCTAGCAGGTCACCTATTTGCTTTTCCTATTTATGTATCCCTAACTGCTTCTCCAAGCTGCACACAAAACACAAAAAATAAACCTAAAGTGCAGATTAAAGCCATTAACCTGAAACATCACACTGTAAGCCGCTTTCCATTCCTAAAATTTCAGCAATTCTCCACCAGATCCCTCTGCTCAGTATTGTGTAGCCCACCTTTTAAGGGGCAGAAAAGGTGCAGACCAGCTGGGTGATAACAATAGTTACCAAGTGGTGGGTGCACTTACTTTGGTAGTCAGCACTATGCCGAGAACTTCTGTTTACTCCATAAAATAACCCTGTGAGATGCCCTATTATCTCCATTTTACAGTTGAGAACACTAAGACTTAGAGAACTTAAATATTTTCCTTAAAGCCGCACGGCTAGTGACTGGAAGGGGTGGGATTAGAAACCAGGTCAGTTGACCAGCGCTAGAAAGTCTTGGCATTCATTAGGTCTGAGGCGTGACACAGAAATGTCTACAGAACGCTGTTTAAAGCCACCCGCCTCTCTCCCCTGCCCCGCCCCACCCCAGTAATTCTGATGCACTGATTCCCTGGGATGCATTGCTAGAATCTACTTTCTATAAGGAATTCCCTGCAAATTGGAGTGCTGATAACTTACAAACAGACCAGAGATACTTTTACTTCATAAACATGTGCTTCAGATAGACGATGCTAGGTGACTAGTGGCTTTTGCCTGCTTCTTTGGTTGAAAATCTATTCTTAAATTGTTTGTGTCTTTACTTATTATTTTCAAGCTCATCAGACCACCAGAAGTCTATGTGTTGCAAGCACTCTACCAGAAAGGGAATTACTGGTAAATCACCTTGTAGTTATGGAGCACGTGTTTGGTTACTTCCTGCAGTGAGGTGGGTGGATTCTGACATAGTCCTCTGAAGTCTTTGCATTTACTTTTCCTTTAAAAGAAGAAAGAGGAGAAAGAGAACAAGTAGCTAGATGGTAACTCTGGATAAGAAGAAATAAAAATAAAGGTATATAATACCACAAAAAGGTTTCCTTTAAAACTGGCTGGTGTAGCTCAGTGGATTGAGTGTGGGCCTGTGAACCAAAGGTTTCCTTTAATCTGAAGCATATTTTGGCAAATGTAGGTATATGATTAGACTTAATGAAATGTTCTTAATAAAATCTAAAGATTGCTCTATGAGGAATAAGAGTGCGAGTTAACATAAAAAGTAGCTTTGTATACACAGGCCAACAGAACACTAACTGAATTTATTTCATTCACAAGAACATGTGAGGAAAGTATTTCAATTCACTGAGCCATGCCAGCCAGGGCTAAGGAAAGTATCTCAAATCACACTTGATTTCAACACACAAGCTGAAGGACTAATAAACCGCCCACAAAGAATGAACCTATTTCGAACTCGTCATTCTGCAAATATGTACTATTATACTAAGATATGCTTGAAATTGCGTAAGATGGAGACATATCTGACCTTTTATTGAAAAGAGGAGGAGTCAAGTATCCTGAAAGGGCCGGACCCGCCTGTAGTCCCTCCGGAACTTCCTGCTGTCACTACAGGTCTGCCTTAGTTATCTGATCTGTCTCAGAGCAGAGCTCTCAGTTGAAACTCGAAGGCTCTGGGAAAGAAATCACTCTTGTGAGTGTGCCACACACTCTCTCCAGTTTCCACATGCTGGTATTGTACTTCTTCGTCAGTTTGTTGTGCCTGGCGAGATCAGGTAAGTCATTTACTGAATGGTTTCCTTAAGTTTTCAATAAACATTGCTAGTATTAATGTCATTTGGCATGTTATCATCCCAGTTTCTTAATGTAGTTTTAAGTTTCAACCAGTCATTTTTAAGAAAGAAGATAGGGATTAAATAAATTTTGTAATTCTGAAAAAAATTATTTTTTCTCAGCAATAAAAGAAACTCTTATTCCTTTGAATTAATTTGTTCCTCTCAGGTACAAAAATTAAATATGTTGAAAATCTAGAATAATGTTCTTCATAGTTAAAATTTCTTTGCCCTTGCACTTCTATGAAATAAGATTATTTATTTTCTGGAAATTTTAAATTTTATTTTATTAGAAGATCTAATATATAGAGGATAGGTTTTTATAGCATTTGTGCATTGAGGGTTTATTTAAATTGCTCTTACAGAAAAACATAATTTTTATGTACGTAAACTCCTTAGAATGGTGCTTGGCATATAGATAGCTTAAAAATTATTAATCATAATTAAGAAATAAAAATTAAAACAGTAACAAAAATAAACTGAAAAGCTTTTTTAAAAAAAGATTTTATTTACTTATTTTTAGAGAGCAGTAAGTAAAGGGAGGGAGAAAGAGAGGGAGAGAAACATCAATGTGTGGTTACTTCTCATGTGACCCCACCAGGGACCTGGTCCGCAACCCAGGCTTGTGTCCTGATTGGGAATCAAACTGGTGACCCTTTGGTTCCCAGCCCGTGCTCAATCCACTGAGCTACGCCAGTCAGGGCAAGAAGCTTTTTCAAAAACTCAACATCTCTCAGTATTTTTAGGAATCCAGTTCTTTTTCACACAGGTTATGATAATGTGGTACAATTTTTATGAGGGAAAATATATTTTAGGATCCATAAAAGTGTTCATGCCCTTTGAAGTAGTAAAACAACTTTTAAAAGAGAAAGAGCTTAAATACAAAGATGATTCTGTTATTTATAACACCTTGAAACTTCATATAGCAGAGGTGTACCTACATACAGGAATGGGTTAGGTAAAACTAAACTTTTAACAATGTTAAAGTCATGTATGTGTACCTGTAAATAAAGTTTAGACGGGAAGTAGAAAAATTAAAATGGTTGTATTAGAATTTCAGGCTTAGAAATAAATGTGCTGTTTGCTCAACCCCTCCACCCCTCCAATCGCAGCCTCCCAACTTAGTCCCCTCCCCTCCAGCTGTCAGCCTGCTCTCTCTGAGTCTGTCTCTATTTTGCTTATTAGTTCATTTTGTGAATCAGATTTCACATATGAATGAAATTATGTGTACTTGTCTTTCTCTGACTGGCTTATTTCACTTAGCATAATGCTCCCTGTCACAAACGGTAAGATTTCCTTATTTTTATAGATGAGAAGTATTCCACTGTGTAAATGTACCATAGGTTTTGTATCCGCTCATCTACTGATGGGCACGTGGGCTGCTTCCAAATCTTGGCTATTGTAAGTAATGTTGTAAAGAACATAGGGAGCACGTGTTCTTTCGAAATAGCATTTCGGGTCTCTCTGGACGTATTGTGGAATCACTGGGCCAAGGAATAAATAGTTCTTACTTTGTGCTTTTGAAGTTGATTTAACAGTAAATGAAAATTTTACTAGTGATGATATTTTTAATGGAGAATAAACATTATAAAATGTGTTTATCATTTTTTTTAATTTTAAAAACGAACATAAATTTAAGGGTAGCTTAAGGAGAGAGGGAGCTAATCATAACACAAAAACCTGATGATTTGTGGTGACCTCTTCCAGTCTTCCGTCATATATGTCTATTTGCAAAGTAGGAATTTGATTTTTTAAAAGATTTTATTTATTTATCTTTAGAAAGGTAGGGAAGGAGAGGGGGAGAGAAATATCAATGTGTGGTTGCCTCTCTTGCATCCCCCGCTGGGAACTGGCTGACCACCCAGGCGTGTGCCCTGACTGGGAATCGAACCGCAATTGTTGGGTTTGCAGGCCTGCGCTCAATCCATTGAACTACACCAGCCAGGGCAGAATTTGATTTTTTTGTGACCTGACTTTTTACTTAATTACCTCATTAGTAAAGTCTTGTTTTAAATAGATTCCAAGACTCACCTCTGCATGATAGAATCTACACAGACAGTGATACACAATATACTTCTGTAGCTAAAAGAAAAAAGTACAGTTATAGCTGTAAGCTAAATCTGGACTTCTCAGTATTTGCAAAACCATGAACTGGGAAATTCCATGGGGAAGTGAACTAAATAATATGTATCTGATAGCAGAAATTATTAGTCACTTTTTGCTTTTGCCTTGTTTGCCTTGTAGATCAAAAATTAGCAAGTGTTAGGATGTGATTCAGAAATCCCAAGGATACAAGTCTTTCAATTTGGGAGATTTGTTGTTATTCTAGCCTCTATAAAACCATCATGGGAATGTTGGCCATAATTTTACCAATGTACACAGCAGAAATTTCTCGGAAATTTGTTAGGAAAGCAGAGACTTTCCTCCAAGACATCCAGGCTCAGGGGGTCTGGTGTGAGATCCTAAAATATGCATCTTTAGTAAACCCTCAAGGTTTTTCAGCAACAGGTGGTCCAAAGAACACAGCTGATAAGTACTGCTTTAAATTAAGGCCATTGCCCTAAATGTTTCTTAAAGTTACTGTTATCAATCTTTGGCTTATGGTAACTTGTGTAAAACTAAGTAGATATTTTCCTAGGGAAAATAGCTTAGTGCTAAACACGGAGAATATTTCCTAGGATACTGGAAATCCTTTCCAAGTGATTTATAATTCTGCGTGTGTGACTCATCCTTCTCAAACACAAAAGCAGAGGTGAGTGAGGGGGTGGGGTGTGAATGCACGTACTTTGCATATGATTAAGAGAAGAGAGTGAAGAAACCTGGCATCGGATTTGTTTTCTAAATTGTATCCTAAAGAAATATAAGCCAGGGGTTAAAAGTAGAGATATCACTCCAGCCAAGACAGCATTTTGCCCATAAGCTTCTTGCTTGCCTGCACCCCCCCACCACCCCCACCCCTTACTCCCGTGGAGATGGGGGGTGGGGTGCAGGGGAGGAAGGGAAACAACTGATATTTCCTGGCCAGCAATAAATGTTTCACATTCTAGCTCAGGACAGGTTTTTAATGCCAGTGTAAGGTGGTCCTCTGCACAAAAGTATACACTGAGGTGTTTTTTTTTTTAACTTTATTTTTAGAGAGAGGGAAAGGGAGGGAGAAAGACAGAGAGAGAGAGAGAGAGAGAGAGAGAGAGAAACATTGATGTGTGAGAGACACATAGATCAGTTGCCTTTCGCATGCCCCTAACTGGAGACCCAGCCTGTAACCCAGGCATGTGCCCTGACTAGGGATCCAACCGGCAACCCTTAGGTTTGCAGGCCTACACTCAATCAATCCACTGAGTCGCACCAGCTAGGGCTTCTTTTCATATTTAAAAAATCAAGTAGAATTTCATGGCAGTGACATGTCACCTCCCCCTTCTAATTTCTCTTAAAAAATGAAGTCTAACTTACTTTCTAATTTCTCCAAGGCAAACTTTGTGGCCTAAAGAGATTTTTATTTCTGAAACTTTTAGAAATTCCTTCAGAAAAGTGTTTTCAGGCAAGCGTAAGAGTGTACTCAGTGTGGGTTACTAGAAACATCTCACCTCCATCAATTAACATTGGTGAACTGTGTCCTAAACACTGACTAGCATTCATTGCCCAGCATGTAGAATACAGGACAAAGCATCTCTTAATCTTGGTCTGAATCTCAGTAAATATTTTCAGGCAGCATTGAGCTGGTATACCTGACCTTGGACTTCTCTTCTAAAGAAGGTATTAGCACACATCTGCGTCATATTTGCGGGTGGTGGGGAATGATAGCTAGCTCAAGCACACCTTGGAACCCAAAACTTGAACTACAAAGTGTGAGCCAGAGCCGTGCTTTCTTTACTTCCTGTCTGGATACTGTGCATCAAGGTTAAACTAGGTGGAATTTCACGGCTGTCACTTGGGTTTGGAAGTTAGTGGACTAAAGGTAACCAACTGTGGGTCTGAGAGAAACTGATGTTTTCAATTTTAATAACTTGACTCAGCCACTTGGGTGGTATAAAATGAACCTACCTCTGCTTATTGACTCTCATAGAGTGTCCGAACTTTCTCTCTTCTTGTGTATACTCAACACTTTCTTCATCAGTGGGTTATTTCTGTCTGCAACTCCATCACCTTCCTGGATGTGAATGAGGTGTTTCCTATTTCCGTAGAAGTTTTTCCCCAGTCAAAAATGTGAGGCCCTGGTTGGTGTGGCTCAGTGGATTGAGTGTAGGCTGCGAACCAAAGGGTTGCTGGTTCAATTCCCAGTCAGGGCACATGCCTTGGTTGCAGGCCAGGTCCCCAGTGGGGGCCACGTGAGAGTCAACCACACATGGATGTTTCTCTCCCTCTCTTTCTCCCTCCTCTCCTCTCTCTCTAAAAATCAATAAAATCTTAAAAAAAAAGAAATGTGGGGAATGTTATCAGTTCTTCCAAAAGCAGGTAGAAACCAGAAGGCCAGGACTGAGGGTGGACACTAAAGCAGCACATGCAGCTTTGTTAGTGTCAGGGCGGCGGCGAGTCTGTGAGGACAGAGCAAAGGCTCCTTCGCAGGGTCCGTCCAGGGCTGTCAGTGCTTAGTCTCATCTCAGGGACCGTCTGTCCAACTGCGACTCATGAAATGAATCAACCTTGGGAAACAGTGGTCTCTTTTCTGGGTTGTCTTTTAGAGAAATATAGCTGGCGGTTAAAAGCGGAGATGTTCTTCCAATCAGAGGCTGTTTTGTCCATCCAACCCAATTTTCTCTGGCAAAGAGAGAACAAAATAACAATTCTATTTAGTCACTAAGCCTGAGAATGAAAGTAGTAATTTATTTTTGCATGAATAGGTACAAACCCTCCTCCCAAACAGAGTGACCATGGTGTGGGGCTTTATTTACCCTTCCAGTGACAGAAATGGAAGTCCGTCAACCTCAGTCTCCAAGGGGAAAGAA